TACATACATACATAAAATATATTTCTCTTCGCTATAAAGTGGTAAAAATCGTCTTACACATACTACAAGTAAATACAAATGCATGTTATTTATACACATTTAAAAATTCTTATTTCACATATCATCACTGCAGCTTACCTTAAATATAATAAAATATTCAAAATTCTTACGCCTTTTGTTATCACTTTGCTTTATTCACTTAATTCACCGAATGACTTGCGCATTTATTGTTGTAAAAAATCACACTTTATTCAAGCAAAAGTATGGGAATTGCCAACGAGCCACCAAAATCTCAAAGAGGCCAAGCTTAAATTGAAAATAATAACAGCAGTGACACACGAAATTTTCTAACGCAGCTCCCAGTGTATCAAACGCAACACGGATGTACATACAAAATCATGACAAATCACAATCAACAGTTTGGCAAAGGAGAAAATGCGCGAAAATCACAAAGCGCCGCACGCATGCACGCGTATCAACATGCACGACGCCCACACAATCGCACTGCGACTACGAAAGAAACGTTAAAGCGCAGCGACGCGAAAGACTTGACGAACCTTTGCGCTGGCACTTCTAAACAAGTGTGACACTACACGAAGAAATTTTCGTACAACTTATTTTGCTATTTAGTTGAGGAACACTTTTTATAGTTTAATTTGAAGAAAAAAAATGTAAAATCCACTTGTATGTATATGTATGTATTGCTACTAATTTAACTAAATTTAATTAAACTTCAGCAGCGAATATAACTATGCCGCTACATTTACTTGCCGAATGCAAACAACTGGACAAATAGTTTAACTCGCACAACGCTATATATATTTCTATTTTATACGCGACTGTTGCAAGCAAAAATTCAATGTTTAATATTTGCATTTATTTAAATTTACGACGAATTGTATTTACGCGTGCAACACAGAGTTTCACTTTCAACTCCTTCAAAAGTTAGAAGAAAAATTCACTTTATTTATTTACCGACTGATTACCGTTTACTCTGACGTCCGAATTGGTACTGAAGCACTGAACGTACGTCAACTGCGGAGGATGCTGCAGCGCCTGCAGAGCAAACAGCTGCTGTGGATGTTGCTGCTGTTGTAGCCGTTCTTGGTGTTGCTGTTGCCGATGAAATCGTTCAAAACAAGCAATGCGCACGAAGTGTGCCAACAACAACTAAAACAACAACCGGCAATTGCAAAGCAACGATACCCAGGAATAACAACAACAATGGGCGTACAGTATTTGCGCAAACTTTGTGCATTTGTACAACACTGTTAGTTAACAGCGACGGATGCTGTTGCAGAGAATAGGCATTCGTGCTTCTGTTGCTGTCAACAGCTTCAACTTCCGATTCATATTCGTCATTTGTGCGTTGGTACATTTCCGTCGTTGGTGTTTGTAGGCACTTGTTTTCGTGTATTTACATTTGTACGAATGTATGAATGTAAGTATGTACATTTGTATTTATTGTTGTAGGTACATATGTATGTAGTGCGTTGGGTAATAGAAACAGTAGAGCAAAACAGTTTCAAATTCCATGAAGTTGTTTGGTACGGAAAAGTGTTAAATAATGGATACTGCTACTTTTAAGTAGTTAACCCTATATATTAAAGGGAAGACCTAGTGTAACAGTATAAACAACTTTTAATTAAATTAAAATTCATGAACTATTAATTTATTATAAGAATTATTTTTAAACTTTAGAAGTATTGTTGCACATGTTTTGCGTAATAAATTTATATCTCAATTAATATACGCGATATTTTTAAACACTTGCAGGCTAACGCAAGTAGTATAATACTTTTGTTCCTAAAAGGGTTGTTCGTAACACCTGAAACTAATCAAAAACTACATAACTCTAGATCCCATTATGTAACTGATCAAATTTGACCCGTAYTGACCAAACTAATAAGATAGACAATACAAGCAACGATTAATTCAATACACTTAGCTGATATGACATTCAGGGAAATCAGAGATTTTTGGTTTTTTTCAGTTTCGGCTCGTGTTTGGTTGCCATACGCTAGCTTGTTGGACAGTTTCGCCGTTATATTTGATGAATGAAGGGTCCTCTACTCGACGAAGATTTTTCAATGGGGTTCAGGTCATCTCGTTCGAGTTTAGCATGGCGAGATCAGTTGGTTCCCGGATGTTACATCCGTCTATTCGTTCAAGCGATACTTTGCACACGTGTTCCTTGCTCTGAAAAGGTTGGTATTGCGGATGGACCAAATCAAGCCATTCAACAGAAAAGGATCAAATTATATACCTAAACCAAAAATTAAGCTATGTCAATCAAACTTCCAGTAAACATTTCTCTAGAGTACTTCATCATCTAGTTTAAAAATATTTTCCCATAAGCCACTATATAATCCATACAAATGTTTAGCTACTGATGTGTAAGAAAATCATCTAATCTATTTGCTTTATTTAAAGACAGATTAACCAAGTATACCGATTGGTACTGTACAAAATGTTGAAATGCAATATGAAAACAATTTATGTAATATCAATTCTATAAAAATTGTTCGCAATAATTAACAATTTGTGACCTCAAGCTGAACTCACAATCCCATGAATCTGTATGCCAGTCATAATGTTTTATTCGATGATGATAATTTCACGGAAGTAAATGGTTCAATATAATATAATAACATAAGGTGCTTACTTAACCCCAGCAACATATAAAGTCAGCTTTTCGTTGAGATAACTCACACACTGGCTTGATATATATGCGGTAAGTAACCCGGAAGCTYGAACATCTTTATATTAGGCATGTGGGGGCTAAGGGAAGTACTGAAACGATTCAACCCATTTTTGACATACGTTACTATAGATACCGGGGGCCTACATATTCGGTACCTAGGGTAKGTGCTTGAGCAGTTTTAAACAATTTTTGATCAGGAGGTGGCACACACTAAAGACATTATTCGTRCAAWRTTTTATCCCGTTATATTAATTGCTTCTTGATTTATATATTGGAAGCTGAACGAATTAAGGGGAATTTAAAATTGTGCTAAATAAGAAGTTTGCGTGCTTACTGTCCGATTTCGTCCATTTTCATACTGTGACATAAGAATGTAAGAAGAATGCTACGTAATAAATTTTGTCGAAATCGGTCAGTCGTATACCGAAATAAGGAAGAGGGCGGTGCCACGCCCAGCATAATTTTCACACCGGCTCCCATAAAGCTATCTCATACTATCTCGGCGCTAAAATTTAATGTCTATGTTTTTAACAGTACCGTTAAGTGTGGAGTGAGCAGGATTATCTTTCGATTAAAGGAGATGAAAAGAGMGGGTCACCGCCCGCGCCTGATTGTTATCCTTTATTTCAGAACTTGCTCCATCAAATTTGCTGCATCATATTATCTTGGCGTTCTTATGTTAGATTGTGAAAATGGGTGTTATCGGACGGCAAACTCGCGTACTTCATATATCACAATATTAAATTTCATTATATTGTTTCAACATATAATTTAGAAATCGAAGTCCAAGAACGTTATTAGAATTAAGTATATACAAGTAGTTCCTACAAGGTGCGCTATCTCACATTCGAAAATAGTCGAAATTGGATCACAATTTKTTTAGTCCCCAGATACCGAATAAGTGCATTTCAGTACCTACAGCTCCCTTTTTCGCAAAAATATCGATAATTCTCTGAGATATTATGTTATTGAAATTCATAAATAAACTTGCCCCCATAAGAATAATATAAAGACTTTTGATGTATCGGTTGATTTTATATCTTTTTATGAGATATCGCTATGAAATTAAGAGAGCAGTGAGTCTTTTATTGCCTATATCGAATAACATCGTTCTAATTGGGGATTCGTGAGATTGAGACAACTATGGACATTAGTGGGACTAGCATACATTCAATATTACATGAACATTTCATTGTAGACAATCTTTTTCTGGTTGATACCAACACAATTTGTCAATCGATAAAAAAAAAGACTGTTGTCGTTGGATTGAGAGAAATTTAAAAAAAAAATGGAGAGAAATGGTTAAAGAATACGTAAACGGTGCCTTGAAGTACGTTTATGACATCATGGCAGGTAATGAACCGTGGCTATATGGGTATGTCCGAAAGTAAACAACAATCGAATGGGTGTTCCAAGCWGAGCCGAATTCAACAAAAGTTGTGCGCGCACGAAGCACTTCAAAGCAAATAGTTGCCCGATTTGTAGGAAAAACTAAAACCATAAAMCTGAAACAATGCAGAACAGTAAATTCTAAGTAATATACAACCATTTATTTGTCATTTGACTTTCAAGAAATCAGGAAAACGAACCACTGAAACAACTGCATTTTCGAGCACACAAAATATCGATTGAAGAGTAATCTACCGTAGGACATAACTTGAAATCGAGCGACTTCTTTTTRTTCCCTTATGAAAAAGTAAAATAAAAAGTCGGATATAATCTGTAACATGATCTAATAGTGGAAATGCCACCGGATATTTAAAAGATGCGTGAAATCGGTTAACCCGAAGACCCATATACCATTTAAAACGATTTTCGGTACTTTAACAGACTATGSTTGGTCAGTGTGTGATTTATCTTCATAAAATTGCTTGAAWATATGTTMTCAAGTATACTAGAGTAATGTCCAAATTTAATACAGTCAGCCCAAATCATCCCCTTGCCTAAATACGTATATCCGATATAAGGAAATTCATCCATTTTGACTTATGATATATCATAAAAGCCTACACACTCTTTACTTGTTTTTAATTTCATTTGCCTAGATCAGTTTTTATTTTAACGCTGCTATACCTTTCCTTAGTGTTTTATCTAGCCTACTTCCCTTCCATCGCTCATTAATCGACCACAGAACTGGCCTTGAAACCACCAGACAAAATATTTAGTAAAACATGGAGTTCAATCAGAATCCAAAAATTCTTGGTTTGGTAGAGTTTTGGGAAAACTCAAAAAATTAAATAGAGTCCAAGGCGAACAAAACCCTAAGGATGTACTACATAAGAGGGTTTTACATCTTTCTTATCATGTCAAAGAGTGTCATCAACTCTTTATTATTGGAGCAAACTGAGACAGTTAATAAATAAAACCAAACTAGTGTTCAAAATTAGAAAAAATAATAATTTAGGGTTCATACCTAATGTGAAAGCCTTAAAAAACGCAAGTTGGGGAATTTTAAAAACGAAACTGAAATATCAATTATTTAAATACTTTAGGAAAATATTTCTACAAATTTAATTTCCGACGACGCTAAAAGTAAAGTTATTTCGCTACTCCAATAACCAACATAAATCAAGCAACTAAGGAATTGCAAAGCTCGGATGTAACATTTCAACTCTTGCAACTTACCAGAACAAAAGCCGGGGAAATACCTTCAGATGCATCGTTTTGGCATTAAACTATAGTCTATCTAATATTATAGTATATCTATATAGATATATATATATATATCACCGTAGAATAGCTTAAAAATCTTGTATTAGATATATGGGATATAGGTGTAGTACCGACCCTATTTTACCTATTTTTTTTCTCTCTGTGCTTCATTAAGTTATCTAACRTACTATCAGGAGTAAGGTCACCTAAATGTTCGAAAATAGTGATATTAGTTATATGGGGACTCGGTCAAGTTTTCGCAAAATTTTATCCATTTTAGGCACAAAGCTACACCGTTCTCTCATTTTCATTGCGATAACTCACATCTTGGCCGGTATATGCGATGTAAAGTCATCCGAAAGTTCGAAAATATTTTTATTAGGTAAATGGGTTTTAAGCGAATTGTTGACCCGATTCTACCTATTTTTAACACACAGACATACTATTATTAGGAAAAGATTATATTTAAATTTCAATTTTTCAAAAATATCGGTCAATCTATATCACACAGGTAGTAAAATCGGTCCACAACATTTCAAACTTCCATATACTGAATATATGGACCACAATTTCYATTGAGAACTTTTTATCGAAAATATCGGTCGAAATAGATTGACACACAGATT